ATGAGAAAGAGAGGACAGTTACAGGAGACTTTTGGTAGATGGAGTCAGTGACTTACAGTGACCTATCAGATATGGCAGGTGAGAGAGAGATGCACGTTAATGATGTCACTGCTTTCTTACCCCGCACTTCTATATTCTTTCCTGGAACAACTTTGTGCACTTTGTATATTTAGTATGCCTCTAAATTGTTGAATTATACCAAACAGAACATAGAGATAAAGACTATGCTGTATTATCTGTTGCAAAAAAGGAATTTGCTTGACCAAGCACAATTTATGAATGTAAAAATAAGAGTAATGTCAAGAATAACATATATGGTGATCTAACAGTACCATGGCAAAGTAGGTTCAGGAATTGGAGTCTGTAGACATAGGTTGAATGTCAGCTTCACTAGTCTCAAGCTTCCCACTTTGAACACTTATTGCCCCTGAGCTTTCATTTCTCCGTCTATAAATTGAATGTTTTCATTGAATACTAACACATGTATAGTTGGAAAGCCATAGAGACCACCTGGTCCAAATTCCTTATGTTAATGATGAAGGAACTTTGTCTGAAAGCATATAAGTGACTTACATAATGATTCTTAATAATAGAGTTAGAATTAAAAAGCAGTCACCTTCCATTTGTTATCTCTAATTAGCTTTCATTCTGTTCTCCAAAATGACTCCTCCAAGCATCTACTCCCTCAGTCCCCAACTTGCTCCATTCCTTCTCCCCCTTCTTCTTACTAAACATTTATCAGGGAAAATTTCCTATCGTGGAACTCTGGGTGGGCCCAGACTATTTTTCCAGCTTCCCCAAGTCCCCTGAATCTAACAAATCCTGCCTATTCCGTCCCCAACAAACTTCCTGTCATTTCCAAAACAGACCCTGCCATTCACCATCTCCTGATGGATTCACCAATCTTTCCTTGTTAGAGTACCCTTCCTCTGAGACTGTCAGCCTTCTCTTTATCCCTCAAGATCCAATTACCTCCCTCCAGATACCTTTATTGATTCCCCCAAATCCTCTTCTTCGCTCCCTCAACAATCTATTCATAACAGCATGTCACAATCTGCTCCTCTCATAGCGTATCTGTTTTGCCACCAGATCCTCATGTTTCTTAAGGGTCAGGATCAGCTCTTATTTTATTGTGTACCACAGTGTCAGCGCCTAGCACAGTGGCAGATTGTGGGCACACCATAATTGTTTGAGGAATAAATGCACTTGGATCTCTTGGCTCCTAATCCAGCTGGGCTCTGTGTGTGTGTGTGTGTGTGTGTGTTTATCAATGCTGGGTGTGTGTGTGTGTGTGGTGTATGTGGTGTGTGTGTGTGTGTGTGTGTGTGTGTGTGTGGTGGGGGAGGGGGGTATTACTTAGTTGCATCAGAAGCATGGATAGGGATTGTATAAACATGGGTTATTGTAATGGGTGGGCCAACAGACACAATTAATGTAGTCTCTACTGAGATCCAAATCAAGGCCTTTATAATTGGGATAGCCAGAAAGCCAAATGACACATCCAGAATTGGATTCACAGGTATGGGGGATTGTGGTGTGTAAATGTATGTTTGTGTAATACTATGGCTAAAATATGTTCCACATCAGACTAATCTCCTATCAATCCCTCTTCATAGGAATTGGGTAGACAGATAGATAGACATCTGAGGCTAGTTGAATCTTTCTTTATGCCCCCCCCCTTGAGCTCCACACTTGCCCTTGCCAGGTGGTGATATCCATAGAAACAGAAGCTGCTGTTATTTAACTCGAGTTTCTCTTCTACAAGGTATTCTTCCTTCATCCTGGCTGCTGTTGCTACAGTTGTGATTTGTGCTCTTATCAGCATGTGTTTCCTTTTAGCTCCTTTTCTTAGCAGCACAGAGAGACCTATCTCCTGAGCAAGGCAAGAAATCCTACATCTCCTGTTATTTGTTTCACTTTGCATGCTCACACACCTGCTTGGTTCATTTTTCTCACCCCGTCCTGACCACCACGATTCCCCAAGTTGTACTGTCTTCTCGCCATCTGCTTGTTAAGGTTTTATACTTTGCTGGCTCCCAGTCTCCAACTCCAACTGCAGGAATAGGTCTGGGGAACAAGTAGTTCTTTTAAATTCCATAAGTCACAGGTATTGCCATATTCATAATGGCCAAACCATTGAATGGTCGCCATGCCAATGACCTCCCCGTCAGGTCTTCATCAGTCTTGCTGACTATGTCAGCTCTATTTTTGAGTTAGATACAATGTCCCAGTCTTATCTCCTGGCCAATGCCACAGCACAAGCCCACTGGTTCAATCTCTGCATACTCTTGCAACCCTCGCTTTTTAGTTTTTACTAAATCTCCCATTGCATTACTGTCTGTTTACACCATGGTGATAAAATATTGATCCTGTATGAAAAGAACCCCTTTAACATAACAAAGATGTAATTTACCTTCATATCTACACTAATCAATCAGAAAAACTCTTGTCAGCACTTGTAATTCATTTATCTCTTGTGTGAATACTGTATGTGACTCACATTTCTTCATTATCCCCTCCCCCAAATCCAGATAGATGGATAGATAAATGGTATTGCCCCAACAGTATTCTTACCTCTGTGAATAATAACACACATTCCTATAAATTTAAAATGAGACTCTCACCTATAAATATTGCTATAAATCACCACAAAAATAGACGTGAGTGTGATGTGCTATACTCTTACTAATTTGATGCACAAGTTGAGTTTTAATACATTGGAATGAACATTGGATCACAAAGAAACACATGAATTTACTGTAAATCTTGAGGATGAAATCATAACGGGGCTGCCAGTGTTTGAAACTGTGTGAATTAAATGGAAAGACTGCCAGTTTACGTAATTATACTTACAGAAATATAGTGTGACTATGTCATCAAGGGGTTTAATCAGTGTGTTTAAAAAAAAATAGCTGCTTCTGTTCATAATTTTGTCACATGCACACATTTCCATGGCAAAGGGCCAAATGCATTTAATGCAATTCAAGGATGACAAGGAGGACTGATGGCCTCTAATGAGCAATTGATTACCACCAGCACACATATAGAAATGAAAAATCCAGATTAAACTTCGTTCAGAACAGGAGGACCATTTCCATTTGCTGTGGCTCTTCAAACTTGTTAACGAAGTAAGGGGCAAGAAGGGGAAACAATATTGAATTTTAACATTCTACTTGAAGATAAGGAACCCCAGTTGTGGATATAAACATAAGTCTTGGTTTTAAAAAGTATGTGTGTGCAGAAATGAACTTAACCTGGATTTTTGGTCTTAAAGCTACTAACGGGATTGGGGGGGGGAGGGTTAAAAAATGTATTGTACTATATTATTAAATCTAAGACTTATTATTATGCAAAAGTGTGTTCCAGTTTCAATTTTAAAAACTACTAATTTGTTTTCAACGGCTGTAATTTGAGATCCCACAGGATGACATATAAGGATACACAGGAAACTTTGGTAGGCTACTGTTGGTTTGGTGATTTGATTCACCAAGCCTCCTTGGCCGAGATTTCCACTGTCTGGAACTATAATAAGATGGCAGCCACAGTGTAATTCGTCACAGTTGGGATTTCATAATGCATGGAACACAGTAAAAAATGAAAATGTACTAGAAAATGTACTAGAGAGATCATAGGATATATCATTTAAATATTTTTCACGGTGGTTGGATTTTTATGCAGCAAAATAGAGAAGAGTTAGAAGAATATGTTGACAATGAGGAGGTGGCATTAGTTATGTAGTAATAACATCTTGTGCTGGCTTCCAGAAATCCATTGAGGTCTTACTAGCTTAGCTAGCGTATAGCTTGTTAAAGGTGTGTGAGGCCTACATTGCGTCTGACTGTACATCATAATTCACCTCAATTCAGCAAATGTTTGTTGAGCTCCTATCATAAGCCAGATATTGTGGTAGTGGGGATACTAAGATGATAGCTGTAATAGAAACTGTGCATGTTATTTCAACTAGTACATTGTCATCTTTCATAGTAATTAATAATTTTATAAGAAATCTTTTCATTCTAGTTATTTACCTATGGCTTACTAGGATACTATCTTGCTTTTTCAGATATAAATGTGCACACTGTCAATTAATTTTTATTGAAAACCATAGGCAAGCACAAGAACTTCTAATGTATATTAATACTCAAATGGCATTTAAGGGAAAGTTTATCATGATACATCTATCATGCAAAAAAAAATTCGCTTACATTTTTTCTTTACACTTCTCCATTTTCAATTGTCTGTTGATGCCTCTTTTATCTAACTCTATAACTTGTAACCATTAGTGGGGGATGATCATGTTCTCCTTTAAGAATCTCTTAATATACAACTTCTCACCAGAAAAATGCATACACTCACTTATATAAACACAATGTATAACATGTATTTTCTGAGTACGGATCTGGTTGAGAAATACTTCATTAAATGCATACATTTCTGAAGACACGACCTGTGAAATTACAACTCAATTTGGAAATTAAGAGTTGCTCTTTCAAGGAATCGTGCTTTTAGATTAAAATTTAGTTTCCTATCCAAATTACTGATATATTGATATTCTGCCACAGATATGTGGTTGCAATTTGCCCCTGTGATGGAAAATACATTATTAGGCGGGGCTTCTGATAAAGTTAGCATGCATTTCGGTCGGACTATTAAGGCTTTCCTAAGCATGACCATATGTGAAAGTGGTCCATGACATATGTGTCTGCATACATGGGCTCCAGCTCGGTGAAGGCTCCAGCTGTTCCTATAATGGACAAGCTACCATCCTCCGATATCTTTTTAAATGTAATTGAGTCCCCTCATCCTTCTGTGCCTCTGGGGCTCAGAGAAGCTTAGAAGAGTCGATGCCATTGGTTTATCTTTGGCACATTCCCAGAGCCGAACAGGTGATACCATAAACATACCCCCGTGTTGCCTTTTGCAGTGAGCAAGTGGTTCTCCAAGGTGGACCCTTCTGGCTTGTAATTGATTTTAATGATTTCTTTCTTTCTCCTGGGAAGGATTTATGTGGGCATCATTCATGTGACACCCTGGGAATGGCAGACGTTGGGACCATATGTTCTCCGGAGCGCAGCTGTGCTGTGATTGAAGACGATGGCCTCCACGCAGCTTTCACTGTGGCTCACGAAATTGGTATGCAGCGCCCTTTCTCTTCCCTCGCCAAATCAAACACTTGTAACAGCTGCAGCAGGAACTGAAATACTTGGCAATGAATTCCAGATTTCTCCTGGTTCAGATGCGGCCTTAGGGATTAAATTTGTTTATATTTGCACTTTCGGGGTTAACTAATAAGGGAGACGGAAGGCAAAGTCAGGCACACGGTAGATGTTTCCTGTCTGACACTTGTCATTTAAAAGCATAAGAGAAATTTGCTACTGCCACTGTCTTTTAAGCATCCTTAAATGACTCTTAGAGGAGATTTGTCACAGTTGGCTAGGAATGCAGAGCTGTTCCTCTTAGGGGTTACTCAAGACCCTACTGACTCATCCAGGGCTAAGCGGTTTGCACACAAATGTATCATGTTTTCTTCCACTATGGCTGATAAGAGCTTGGTCCTGTCAAAGGTAATCAATAGCTTATGGTAAACATGCCTGTCTTGTTTTTAATAGCAAAGCCAAGCTCAGTGGTCAACAGAGTTTGTTTTAAAATGTCACTTAGCTGGTGTGTTTGTCATACGAAACACATCTAAATCCTAAAACTAGAAGTTTAGGGCTGAGTTAGTTGTTGAAAAATACCCCAGCAGTTAGAAATATGTGTTTTCTAACATTGACATAGGCTACTAGGTAGGCATATGAGAGGTTAGTTCAGTACTTAGGATTAGATGTTAGAATTAGACACATCTGGGCTCACTTTTTGCTAAAGTACTTTCTACCTCTGTCACATTGGTCTTACTATTTAAACTTTCTAAGCTTCAGTTTTTATATCTGAAGTATAGGAACAACATTGCCTATTTCATGGAGTTATTTTCAGGACCAAATTGGGTAAATTATAGATATCAGCTGTTATCGTTATCCACATAATCATGTTTTGCTTTTTAATTAAATAGTTCATTTCCATTTTTAAATGCATGTATCACCTTTTAGCATCATTTTTTTTGGGAAGGGCAGAGTATGATTTGATAATTGTTATTTTTTTTGCTGTATTTTATTAAATAGATTTCATTTTTTAAGCTGAAACCCTAATTTTTAAATAGAAATTAAAATTTTTTTTCACATCCCCAGTAGGCAAAGAATATTCCACAAGGTGTTGATTTCTTGCTTCTATGTGTTCTCTAAATACTTCAAATCAAAGGTGTAATTAATTGCATGCATTAGTGTATCGCAGCAGTAAAATAGAGATCTGTAGTCAAATTTCAATTCTTATGTGTTAATCATGACTTTAATTTCCTTAACTGACACTCTTCTTATCATCTAAGCAAAAAAAAGGAACAAACATAAAGTATTTGTTGCCTAAATAACCACTCAAAGGCACTGCTGATAATAATTCAATATAACATCACATGAATTGAGCATCTTTAGCTTAAGGAACCCATGATCTGAGATGAAATCCCAGCTCTGTCTTAGTATTCTGTGTTTTATGTCAGCTGAGTCATTTAGACACTCTCAGAATCCATGGCTTTCTGTTGTGCTGGGCTAGAAGAGTTGAAAGTATTTTTAAGATCCATATGCCATTTGAGCTTCAGGGATGGGATTATGTCTTCACCTGTCTCTCACTCGTGCATATTAAAGTAATTAAAACTACAGCCTCATCTTGGCTGGGTGACTTGGTTGGTTGGAGTATTGTCCTATGCACCAAAAATTTGCAGGTTCAAGCCCCAGTGGGGTCGGGTATATGAGGCAACCTATCTCTCTCTCTCTCTCTCTCTCTCTCTCTCTCTCCTCTCTCTCTCACTCCCTCTGTCTCTCTCTCTCTCTCTCCTTCCCTCCCTTCCTATCTCCCTCTCTCTCTTCCTCTTTCTCTCTCTCTAAAATCAATGAAAACATATCCTTGGGTGAGAATTAAAAAAAGGAAAACAAAACTATAACCTCATATAGATCCTAACTCAATATTTATTACATGTCTCTGTGTTCATGAGTAAGAGGCAGAAACATGAAAGCTGCCTAAGAATTGGCAACTTTCCAATTCTGCATCAGAACCTAAGAGAGATTAGTCCAAATACTCAAGAGGATTGTAATTAAACAAGATTTAAAAAGCAACACCAGTAATTAATCACCATTATTCGGACTGAGAGAAGCCCCATAAGATTCTAAATCCCTGGGAAGGCAGGGGGTGGTTCCTCTCTGTCTGGGTAGAGGGATGGTGAGGAATAAGGAACAGAGCTGAATTTTGGCATCACCCATCTATAAGACTATGAGCCAATTCCTGATCTTCCAAAGAAGAGATTAGAAACTTCTCGAAGGAAGGGCTATTACTTCCTTCAAGCCTGTACTGATCCCTTTTCACACTTGGACAGCATCTGGGAGACTTCCCGGGAGGAGCAGCCTGCAGCAGTAAGTGCATCTTCTTTGGGGCTGCATTGACTCTCAAGCCAACTGGGCTGGAATGAAAAGGCTCCCAGCATCACCTTTCCCAGCCCTCCTGAATCCTAAACCAAGGGCCTGGGGTCACACAGACAGATGCAACCATCTGAAAGGGGAGCAGCCAGATACCAATGAGAACAGATGTTTTATTAAAACTAAATGTGTGCAGTACAAACTTTTCTTAATGGGACAAGAATATAAAACGATGTTGGCGAAATGTGGGGTTCTATGTGAAAAATGAAACCTAAATTGTTGACATATGACTACACCTGTCCGTCCCCCCTTTCATTTCTTGGTTGAATCACCTCTATTTACTTCTTTAAACTTCTCTATAATTCATTCTCCAATCAAACTCTGCCTACTTAATTTTCCTTTTTGCACGACATATGGCCCCATCAGAGACATTTAAGATCTGGGCATAGAGGAATATGGATTTAATTCCCATTTCATAAAGAGATCTGGCTTTCATTCATTTTCTAATTGCTTTATTATTCTTTAATTTCACTTTTTTGCCTAAAAAATTGTGAACATGTGTTATAAAGTCTGAGCCTTACAAAACTTAGAGAAGATAACCTTACAAAATATTTCCTAATCATCTGTATGTGATTACAGTCGCCCCTCCGCAGCCAGTGTGTTCTTGGGTCTGTTTCCAGTGCTTTATTTTTAGGTGGTTGCATGAGGCCATGTAACGAGCTATTCATGCTCTGGATTCTAATTCTACTCCATCCTTCTCATGTGATTTCCTCCCTTCCCTTTTATTAGACATATACTACCTCCCAGATTTGGAGGTTAACGATACGAGCTATGTCTGGTGATGAAAAACCTTGTGAATCCCCAGTTTGCTAGAGTGTTTTGAATTTCCTTGAGCCCATTTCAGAATGTGCAGTTTGCTTCATGTACACAGACTGTGAATATGTTACTAGCTTAAAACATAAGCTATGGAGAAAATGTCCAGGCTGTTTCCATATGTTTTCTTTTTTATTTCTTCTATAAGCTCTAAAGCAGTGGTTCTCATCCTTTTGGCCCTTTAAATACAGTTCCTCATGTTGTGACCCAACCATAAAATTATTTTCGTTGCTACTACATAACTGTAATGTTGCTACTGTTATGAATCGTAATGTAAATATCTGATATGCAGGATGGTCTTAGGCGACCCCTGTGAAAGGGTCGTTCGACCGCCAAAGTGGTCGCGACCCACAGGTTGAGAACCACTGCTCTAAAGGATATATTTGGTTAAGACTAACACCTTCATGAACCGACTTAAATTTTCTCATGGAGTGCCCCACTGCATCCTCTTTTATACATAGTGGTTTAAAACACAAAGCCATTGTACCTGAATCAGAATTTTCTCTGTTCTTTTCCCTCCTCCATCTGAAACATGTTGGTATTGAGAATTAACAGGAAAGCTAAAGAGGCCAGCCTGAAGTGCCTTCTGGCACCTGTTCTATCCATGGGGTTAAAGTGGGTTAAGTGAACAATTGGGAAAGTGACTCTTTTCATGCCCCGCTTTCATGCCCCGCATGTTAACTGGAATACTTTTCTTTCCCTGCTAATTCTTTCTAAGAAAGAGCTAGATGTTGGAGGTACCTACTCAACTGGTAACCATGCAGGCTTCTGGCAAGTAAATTTTGATGACCTTAGATTCTCCATAGGCAGCAAAACTTTGCCTTCCTCCTGTCGATGTTATGTGCATGTAAACACTGATTACATTTTGAGAACATTTATGAAAGTTGCTTTAAACCATCAAGAACCCAGTCCCCATCTCTGTTCCTTGAGTGGAGGCAGGAATGTGGTTACAGCCATTTTACAATCCAAATGTGAACTGGAGAAAGTTCCAAGTGAATGTAAGTTTATATTTTGAGTTTATATTTTTAACTTGTCAAACTTTTATTATCGGCTTGTAATAATAAAGATTTCACCTGCTGCACACATGCTTGCTCAAAATAATAATTTTATTGATGTTTGGCCAGCTTCTAATACAGCATGGGGGACAATCTGACTTTATTTAGACTGATGAAATCCATGATTTGCAAACTTGCCGAAGCTTTGCTTTATGGTAGTTAATTATAAAATGTGCTAAGTGACTCTCTTCGCCATGAAAGATTCCAAAATGCTTCCTCAGCTGAAAGCAGGCAACTGAAAAAGCTGAAGCCAAATGTTTGGCTGGAGACCTAGGAAGTGGTTGAGACACAACAGCAGAGCTGCCCGCGTTTTGCTGTGGTTAGAGTGCGTTCTCTGGTTGTGCTGATCTGCGTGGGACTGTGCTCCCATAGATGATTAGATTAAACAAGGCCATGTTTTGAAAAGCTGCAGAGGCCCTGGAAACACCGTAGACCAACGCCAAGTGCACAGAATCAGATGTCAGGACTGGCTGTGAGATGTGAAATGAAAGGAAGCTAGGATTAAACTTGGTATTTTCCCCCAAAACCGTAGCTTTAATCAACACAAACTGAGCATTTTTTTCAATCCAGTTTGGGCCAGTGCCACACTGTGTCTTTCTTGGCCCCCAGATGAAAGGTGGGAATAGGACTTTGTTGTAGGTCTGGCAGCATTGAGAGATTTGGTGTTTAGCATCAGTTGTTTGTTTTATAAATCAAATCCCAATTAATATTT